TTGGGAGGAGAGTTGGGAGAAGACCATCATGAGCTTGAGGGCACTGATGCGGGAGCGTGATGACTCTTTTCACACACAATGACAAGCTGCCTATGGAACGCACCTGCTTGCTAACCTCTGCGTTTGCTTTAACAGCGCACGTGACTTAATCGGTCATTATGGGTGATTATCGCTTTAAACTCAGAAAGGGCCGTATGGCGCAATGGTCAAATGCGCCTGGTTGTGTTCTCGTTTGTGCGGTGGGCGACGAGAACAAGTGGGTTCGAATCCTGCTATGGCCCCCTTCTGACCCGGCTTGTGCGAGTCGACAACCAGCACACGACAGTGGAGAGGCCCCATTTTATCGCAGAGCCCGATAGCCAAGCAGCTTGTCTCCACAATACCCACTCCTGCGAGGTTTTCCCCCTTGTGGTTTCCCTCGCCAGCAGATAACAAACACCTACTCAACCCACCAATGCGACATATATCGAACGGCTACTGGAACAATATGTACACCAGAGAACTGAGGTTCACTGGGTCGCTTTGTCACTAGATAGGAGGTTTTTCTGACGGAATCGTGTTTGGGTATTGACTAAAACCATCTGAACACTCCAGATTGGTACCGCTACAGCGAGGATAGGCTCGTGCGCGGATCTGAATGTATCTAATTTGACACCTCTACAACCTTGCGATGCAATGGCTCTGGGAGGCGTGGTTTGCACTACTGAGGAGCTACCCCCCACGTTAAATACAAAACAAACAAACAAACAAACAAACAAAACTCAGAAAGAGACAAAGCTGCTGCCGCAGCCTTGAGATTCCTCCTTCCTCGCTTTCGGACAAGACCCTCTGTCCCTGGAATTTTTGTAAAGCTGCATATTGCCTTCTGCATCGTCTGCCTTGCAAGCGGCCTCTCTGCTGCCACTCCCGAAGCTTCTGGTTCTGCTCCTCTCGAACGCGCTGCTCGTATTCTTTGGTCAGGATCTGCTCTCGCTGAAATTCTGAGAGCTGCGGCGAAACTGTTTCATTGGGACTTCTCTCTGTTTGTATTGGGAGGCACGACAATGGAAGATGGTGAAACTGGTGATGTATTGTTGTCCAAGGCGGCAGGGCAGAAGGGCTGGATAGCTATGGCTACGTGTCCAAGGCTGCCTGGCAGCCGGTGGCACCAGCCAACATTTTGTGTAAGCTCCATGCTTCAAACAGCATATTGAGGTTGTCGATGGTAGGTTGAAAGAAATCGGTCGTTTGCATCAAAAGGCTGTTGGCTCTCTTTGGCTGGTATAGCGCTACGCGGTGGCCCGAGCTTTCTTGTCAATCTGTCAATCCTCATAATCTGTATAACCTGCCAATCTGCACCATCCGCCACCATTGCTTCATATGACTACTAATAACTAATCATTTTTAGTTGTTATGTATTCCATTGCGTATGCCTGATAATCAGTCACAGACTGCGACTCAGTAATATTTTCAAGCCCCTGGGGGTCAGTAACAGCCAATACTTTTTGCCCTGGAATGATTGGTTATCAGTGTCATGGTCGGTTGATGGGATAGACACCACAGCTCGAAGGCGCCTAACCAGCTGCTGACGTGCCTAAGTTAGTAAAAGAACCGATGGATTGTCGCGGCAGCCAAATACCCCCGTCGCCTCCAATTGTACGCCATCTCGAAGCACGTGGAACGCGCCGGCGCCGCAACCCAAGAGCCTACTAAACAAGAACGCGTCTAAGAACTGCAGCTAATACATTGACGCATTGTATCGATCATCCACCGCTGGCCATACAGATCTTCATGCCTACAGTAAAGCTGCATATGTGTCACAGAACCTACACAGACCTTGGGCGTAGAGGCTTGGCCGCGGGCTTAGAGACTCCTATGGCGAGCCAGCGAACCGCCGTCGGCTGTCCTCCTGCTGCCACACAAGGCGCTCGTGCATGGTGTTGTGGATCTGGTCCGGCCTTCTGCTATGTTGCTGTGAAAGTATTCTCCTGGTGGTAGCGAATCACTCTGACGACTAATCATTCTGGGCCGCTTCTTAACTACGTAATGATATGACTCACAGAAAAACTTGGGCGTAAGACTTAGACCTGCAAGGCTGAGCATCACTGAGGCTTAGGCACACCTACACCCCTGTCAATGATTCGTTACCGTTGTCGTGAGATCATATACCCCCAGACAGATTTCTCCCAGGAAAATCTATATGAACAGTGCTAATTGCTATAATATTGTACATTATGATATCTAAAGATCTAATTAGAGTATCGTGTTGGAGCAGGCTTGATCGATTAATCATAATACTTGAGTATGGGTCAAGGTCATGATGTTGCTGATGGATAGATTGGGAAGTCTAGCTAGACTCGAAGGTCTGGCTAAGTGACCTCACACTCCGGTATCTAATCTTATCTTATAAGTCATATATATTAGCATAGGAATAGCGTGGATCTAACAATGTCCATATTTTCAATAATTGACGACATTAGTATTCCATGCTGTGCGGCTCATAGTGGTATGTACTGGATGGCGTGGATAGACTGCTTAACATCTTATTTCTATGCGTAGTCTAAGCCGATATCATCCTAGTTGTCTGCCTCGCTGTCGCTGAGGTGTTTGCCACCGTGGTCATAGTCAAGCCGTTTGGTCGAAGTAAGAGTCTTGCTATCCGCTCCTCGGCTGGTCATGGCGTCCAACTTGCCAGCAAGCCACCGAAACACCAGGCCCAGGCTCAGATCGGGGGACCCGACGGAGGTGACGCAAGCCAACCGCCGTCATCGTGCGCGGCAAGCCGTCAAGTGCAACTGCCGCCCATTGGGTACCTTGCTGTTAGGTGCCCATAGCCACCATCAGCGACTTAGGTACGAGGTACGCTGGGTTGATCTATGACTTATGGTTTCACTATTATTCCAACCACCAGCTGGTCCCACACATAGGCCGTAAAGTAAGTCAAGAGGCGACTAGGATTGATTGGCTGTAAGTAATCCATAATACCCATAATGATGCAATATTATATATTAGGTCTCGTTCGCGCTTACGAGTCGACTTGTGTTTGCACCCCAGCTGGTTCTTACGTGATTTGACGCCGAAGTGAGTGCACCATCAGGATGACTCGTAGTCAGACCACGATCCAGAGGGACCATTAACCCTATCGAGGCAGACACCCTGGATCCAACGGTTTCATACAGGGGGTCGTGGCAGCCTTACCACCATTGTGAGCCAATCGTTCCAGCAGTGGCGCACGCCAGGGCTGGCCTGGTTTGGCATAGGATGAAGCATTGTGCGATTGCTACGCTTCTGATATAGTATGAGGCTGCCCAGTTGTCGGCTGGCAAATGACCCTGCCGCCCTCCTCTCGAAAAGAGTCAGCCTCTTGGTAGCGTGTATATGGGCCCCTTTGCACGCTACGCTCATCCGAGACTCTTGACTTGTTGGTGAATGCGTCCTAGTCCGATCTTGTCTAGCTTGGCATGTTACATAGTATGATTCTTGCCGGTCTCTTAGTTCACGAACACTGCGGGTTAAATTCCAACCATACTCTTCCGAATAGCGTCCAATTTCCATAAGCTCCACAAGTTCTCCATGGTCGTGATCGAAAGCGAGATGCCACCATGTGAGATTTCAAACCGTTCTGGTATTAAAAGAAAAGAGAAGAAGATCTCTGGGGGAGAAGCCTCCAGATATATGTACAGGTGTGCCATCAGGGTGACCAGATAGTCATATGATAATGGCGCCATGTGAATGCCCTCAAGCTAAGCCCATTAGCGCATTCAGCCAGGAAAGCCTCATCTGAGCTTGTTATGATATTCCAACAGGAACACCCTCGTAAAGCCAGGTAAATTATGGTCTTTCTTGCTGTCTGGCTAGCTTTGGCCTCAGTGTGCTTGGGGCTTGCTTCATCTCCTGGTATCCTAGGGACAGGTACTCTAACTTTGACGCCGATGCGGAGCAGGACGGATTGGTAACAGAAAGAAAAAGCCTGCATTTTCATACTCGAGAATGGCCGCGCTACCAAATACAAAAGTCTCGGCCTTCAGAAAACTACACTCAAGTGCCCAGAAGAGCTCAAATTTGACAGGCCAACGCTCCACAGGCTTATCACATCTAGAACTGGCCATGGCGACTTTAGCTGGTACCATAGGAGGTTCAAGCACGAGGAACACTACAACTGCTCTTGCGGGAGAATCAAAACGCGAGCCCACTTTGCTTTCTGCAACAGAGCCCTTGCGAAACGGTCTAGGTGGCCACGAAGAAACCGCGGACACAACAGAGAACCCGAACCAAAAGGGAGAGCCTATTGGAAATGGCTAATAACGCACCCGAAGGAATTCGGAGACTTCTGCAAGTGGACAGAATTCTACACGAAAGTCTGTCCCAGGGTTACAGAACATCAATTCATCGATAACCAGGTGTAACTGCGCCTATTACCACATCTCTTTACTAATTTTACTATTTTTCTTTATGTTTTTATTTTCTTCTAGCTTATAGCCTTTTAAACGCAAGGCATTAACTGTTAAAGCAAGAGGAGCTCCTCGACGCTATTCGGACTACCGACTACGAACCAGATATCACAGAGCACGAGCCCAAATGGCGGGGCCAACGGAAACTGACGGAATAACATGCGTGCCCTCGAGGTTCGATTTGCAGGTTATCGTGGGAAATAAGGAGTCATGCTCTGCTTCCCGTACAGTAAGGCTTGTATATTAGCCCCTGAGATAGTCACCTGCACGCCAAATATCCACAAGGATCTGGAGCCTAGAGCCCCTACGGCGTTAAATGAACTAAACTAAACTAAACTAAACGGCCGCGCTACATTATTAAGCAAGCACAGTCCCTGCTACAACGACCATAGCACCACCACAATTGCTCACGGCACGACGAGAGTTACTCATGTTCAAGAAGCCAGACGTTAAAGTAAGGTAATCAACCCGTTTATCTCACGGAATACTATAACAATTCTCCAAAATAAGCAGGCAACAGCCCCTGCCATATGAATTAACCCGGGAAGAACTGGGATTTCCTACATGTCCCTATGACCCCTGGCCAAGGGCCTGAAGCAAGAATGCCGCCGCTGCCATTTCTGCGTAGTCATCCGCGCCGATTGCATTGCGTCCTTTGATTACGCCGGTTCCACCTGCAGCGTGCCTTCCTGCCTCCTCATCGCGGGGGACACTTGATCTTGAGGGTCCCGCGTCCCTACCAGTCTCCGAACCTGCAGCCCGGGCCCAGGCCGTGGACGGATTCCACTGCGATGAAGAGCCTTGTACGTATTGGTCATGGCCTTCCTGCTGATTGAAATTTCCCCTGATCGCTGATGAGGATGGTTCTTCGTACTGTTGGGTCATCACTACCAAGGATGAAGGCAAACCAGGAGGTGGTGCTCCTGATCTGGTAAAATGCGATGATGTGTTCGTCTCCATGTGAGACATTGGCTGATAAACCATAAGGGTTGGATCCCCAGACCCATAATTCGGCAGAGCGTTCCTGAACGTCGTCTGGCCCTCGTCCGGGTAGTGTGAAGCTGGGGTCGACGTGTGACTCTGAAAGGACCCGTTCTCGGTTGCAAGTAAGTACTCCACTTGTTTATAACAGTTAGCAGCAGAAAACCGTGACTCTGTATCAAGAACCACCATAGCATCTGCTAGGAATTGTCCGAGTTCATTCGACTGCTTTCCGACATTCTTCTGGAGTTCTATGGAAATCTTTTCACACCACAAAACCCCGTCATTGTCATACTTCCTCTTGTATGGTGGCAAGCCATATATCAGCTCGTACGCCACCACACCGAGGGACCAGATATCGACAGCCGCGATGTAGCCCAGTCTGTTTTCCTTTCTGGAATGACGTCCTGCCTCTGAATATACCTCAGGTGCAAGGTACCTTCGAGTTCCGCAGAGCGTCATCAACTCGGCCCCGTCCCGTGATAGCCCGAAGTCTCCCAACTTGACGTAGATGTCGCCGGCTTCTCGGAACTGGACAAGAATGTTGGCCGGTTTGATGTCTCGATGCGCGATCGGCGTGTGGTTCCCATGTAGGTAAGACAGGGCTGACAAGCATTGACGGAGGATCATCCAAGTCTCATTGTATAATACATCTTCAAGGTCGCCTAGAGGCCCGCATGGCACATATTCCATATGCAATTGAGGATGCGGAGTCAAGAAAGCTGTCAGGAGTTGGACAATGTGGGGCTACTTGGGCGTTAGTGAGAAAGCGAGGTAAGCGGAATTGGCATACCAACATGTGAAACCATGCGCATAATGTCAGCCTCTCAATACCACGCCTTACTGTTGAATTTCTGCTTTCGAATGGCTTTCGCAGAAGGCGCCTTTACCACATGCTCGTATCCGGTGCTGACGTTCCACAAGTGTGTCACAACGCCAAAAGACCCTTCACCGAGCTTCTTTTGCAGGTGGATATCTCCGGTGCCTGGTGTGTTGGCACCAGTGTCACGTCTTGTTGGCGGAAAGGAAAGGCCGAGGTCGTTCAGGAGTCCCTCAGCCGTGGCAGTGCCCTGTTTGAATCTGTTGATCTTGGCGACGTACTCGGGAGACTGCGGGTTGTAGAATGGAACCATAATCTGGAATGAGATGGTGTTGGGCACTCTAACGATGATGCTTGATTTGTGCTTGAGGATGTCATGGCCGCCGACGATCCAGTGGAAATTTCTCCGCGCGCCTTCCTGTCCATCATTGTAAGTGACTTGAGTTCCCATGAGAGAATTCAAGTCTTTGACAATGTTTGTTTGTTTTGTTTGTTTTGTATTTAACGTGGGGGGTAGCTCCTCAGTAGTGCAAACCACGCCTCCCAGAGCCTCTGCATCGCAGGGTTGTGGAGGTCTCAAGATAATAAGTACAGTCAGTCCCGCTCACGGGCCCATCCCCGTTGTTGCGGCGGTATGACCTTGGGGTCATCCATCTGGTCCTTCAAGAAAAGCTATCTATCGGGGGCAGATTGTTGAAAAGAACTTGCTCTTCTCCAAGAATTTTGCCCATTCTGTGCTCCTCTCCCCTAAGTATTGTAAACAAGCTGCCCTAGGCGAATGCCTAGGCAGTAGCCGATTTTTCCCCAGTCTCTTACAAAAGAAAATGTGTTGTGGTGTTTTCTTCTCACCACAGTTGCAGTGATCATTCGAGTCTGTATGCCCAAAGCGTTCATGGTATCTGGCAAAGTCGCCATGTCCAGATCTGGCCGCTAGAAGTCTGTGTAAAGTACTCCTCTTAAAAGATATAAGGTCTCTTTCAGTTACTGTATATAAGTATACTTCTTGATACCTAGATTCTGATTGGTCTTTCCACCATTGGTTAAACTCTTTTTTGCCCTGTCTTTTGAGATCTCTCTTGACCCAAGAGATTGTAAAAAGATTTGTTGTGTCTGTTTCTAGCATGGCACCCTTTTTTGCTATAGTGTCGGCAGCTTCGTTGCTATCAATATCTCTGTGTCCAGGAATCCACTTGACGGTCACTCCAGGAGTGTGTGCTGTGGCAAGTTCTTGAAATCGTAGAAAAATGTTCTGTGATATCTCGGATGGAGTCCCATTGAGCCCATCTACCACTGACGTGTTGTCCAGGCAGACATATAGCTGTTTTCCGTGTCCAATTGCCCTGGCTGCTGCAAGACCTTGGAGAGCATCATGGACTTCAGTATCTACTACTTCTGCTTAGAAAAGTCTGCCCCTTCCCCGGTATACTTCTTGTATAGTGCCGTCTTTCCTGATGGTATAACCCCATCCAGTGCGGGTTGTGCCTTGGTCGTCCAATTGTGATCCATCTGAATAGATGACAAGGTCAGTGTTCATGTTTCTCTCCTATAGCCATTGCTTGAAGAGCTCTGTTTCTTTGTCTTTTTCTTTACGGATTGGGGGCTTCTTCCATGATGGCCTGGTAAGTGTTGGTCTCTGGAAGTCAGGGACTAGCTAGAAGCTCCTTTGTAGCCTGGTTGGATTTTTGCGAGCTTGTATTTAGAGCCTGCCAACAAGAGGGTGTCTCTGGTCTATTCGTCCTAGTCGGAGGCCGTGACATCGTCTTATTGACTCTGCAAGAACTCCTGTTGGGGGAATCTGCGATTCAAAGTGTAGGATATGTCCAGGATGTGTTTTCCAGACTGGCAAGATAGCCCTGATCGCCGTTCGTAGTACGGCATCTATTGTTCCAAGAAGCCCTTTAATGCGACATGCTGATGGCTTACCTGAGCTCCCAACTTTCTCGATCCCTGGGTACCAGGCCTCCAGGCTATGTGTAAGAATAGGAATAACACAAGCTTTCACAGCCCTCTTGGTTGATTTTATTGGAAGTCCTTTGACTGTGTTGCATAGTCCTTAAAGGTGATTTGCTACCTTATTAGCTTTCTTGGCCCAGTGAGAAACATGGTCTTTGAAGTTTAGTTTTCTATCCAGAAGGACACCTAGCCATCGTATGGAATGCTTAGCTGTTTTGTTTATTGTCCCATGGCGGACTGGAGGGTTGTCTCAGTTCTTTTTCCTTGAGAAGTGCATGATCTCAGTTTTGTTAGGGTCAAATTCAATAGCGTTGTTATGTCCCCATTGACTAAGCAAATAAAGATTTTCAGAAGCCTTTGTAGCTGTTTCCTTAAGGTTCTTTCCAATACAGAGAGTCACTAGGTCGTCTGTATATCCAAAGCGTCTCTTTTTTATACCAAGTCGGGCACAGATTGGCTCTGTATACAGCATGTAAAGGATTGGAGAAGCTGGTGAGCCTTGTGGTATCCCACAAGTGAGAGCTTTAATATCGGTCACAATACCTTCAAACCGAACCCTTGCGGACCGCTCGGACATGAATGACTGGACCCATCTTATGAGAAAGCCCGGCCAGCCCTGTTCTCTCATGCGAACCACCAGCCGTCCTATTAGGGCAGCATCAAAGGCCCCTTTCACATCTGACGTGACTACTGTTGCAACGAGGCCTTGGTCGAGGGCCTGCTCAATATCGTGTATGAGTGCAGCTACCAGGTCAGTGGCAGAGCGCTTTGGTAAAGCTCCAAAATGTTGTAGAGCTAGAATTCTAAGTTTGATAACAAACCAGGTAATTCTTTTCGCGATGAGTTGTTCTAGGCCTTTGCCAAGACATGACAGTAGCGATATTGGTCTGTAGGCCCTGGGATTGGAGTAGTCTTTCTTTCCTGGTTTTGGGATCATCTTCCGTGTCTTGTATGTATGTCAGAATGGCAGTATGTGCAAGATTGGCTTCAGGTCGAGCAGCTTCCTTTCCAAAGGCAGCGGTGCTTGGGGGAGCCTGTATGGCTCCCCTAAGCCTCTTGCCGTGCTGCAGATTAGATGGGGTGAGGGGCTCAGGCTGGCGCGTGTGCTGAGCATTGTCGTCGGGCACCACAATGGGTTGCGTAGGAGTTGTTGGGGCCATCATCGCCGTGGACTTGAGTTGCGGAAACCCCAGTCCCGAGATTTGGCCCTTGGTGTTTTGGTTTGAAAGTGGCAGATTTGCCAAGTGTCTAGTGGTCTCGCAACGTGTTCGGGGGAATCGGGGATACTAGTCACTCGGTCCTGGATATAGACAATTCATACGGGGTCACCTAACAGCATCATGTGTCTCGCGAGTACTGCTCGAAGTGAAGTGTCAATCCTAGAGAAGCTGGGATCACCTCTGATGTATCCCGTCATTGTCTAGGTACATTAGGGAGAGCGTGGCAGGTAAGTGCAAGCACCAATAACCAAACCATCCATCAAGCTCTACACAGCCGCCCCGCTTTATCCATCCTGAACTCGTCCGAGCCCACGGCAAACAGCCCATACATGTTGAAACTAGGATCATACGCGTGCTTGATGCTCAACAGGCGGTCATAGTTCGCCCCGTAGAACGTCTCCTTCCAGTCCCCCCGGTACGTCGGATCAATCTCGTTCTGCACAGCTCCGCCCGGCGTCGCCGCTTCCAGTGCGGGGAAGATATCGTCGACGAGGGTGCGCCTCAGGGCCGTGACAGCCGCGGGTTCCTTCCAGCCGTACGGCCCGTGCGTCTGCGGGTTGCAGTAGGCGACGGCGCTGCGCCAGACCGGGTGCACCGAGTTGGGAGGGTGCGGTGGCCGCGCGGAGCCAGGACTATCGTCAACGTTCAAGAACGAGCATCCAACCCACCACGTGCCGCCGTCGGTGATGTTGCGGTATAGGTCCACCAGGCGGCGGTTGGCAGCAGGGTCGAGCACAGTGGCCCGAGGAATCACCCGGCTGGAAATGATGGGGAAGCTGGGACAGAGGTCGCCGTACGGCAGGGGCCCGTACGACGCGATGAAGCTGTCCAGGTAGGTTGGGTAGTCGGTGGTGGTGAACGTGTAGTTGAGTCCGAGCCGGCCCAGCTCTGGAAGGAAGGGCCCCAGCAGCTCGTCGATGGACGAGGCGTTCTGGTCCGGCATGACGAAGTTGAGGACGGTCAAGGTGTCGTTCGTGACGAAGAACTGGATGTTGTTGCGCGAGCTCTCCACGTACGAGGGCCCCTGGTGAAACCAAATCCCGATCGCTTCGAACAGCGCGGTCGTGTTGGCGCTCTGCACGACCATCTCGCCGCCAGCCACGGGCCCTTCGGGGTAGGCTTTGAAGGTCGCTCCGAGAACCACGCCGTTGGTACCGCCGCCGCCGCCGGCCAGGGCCCAATACAGGTCGCTGTTGTGCTCGGGAGTCGCCAAAAGGTATTCGCCGCGTGGCGTGACAAGCTCCCACTCGAGAACCTGGTCGGCCGCCATCCCATAGGCGGTGATGAGCTGTGACTGGCCTCCACCTTGGGCATAGCCCCCCACGACACCCGTCAGTCCGCACTCGGGGGCGATAATACGGTATCCCGAGCCTTGCACGGCCTCGTACGCCTCTCCCGCAGTCACACCGGCGCCGAGCTTCACAGTCGGTCCCGTATACAGGGGGGTCTCGTAGCCGGGTATGATCTCGATGGCTTTGAGGTTGTACGTCCACAGGGCCAGCGCCCCTTGGCCAGTGGACTTACCCAAGTAGCTTGCCCACGACTCAGCACTCGCCCATTGTCAAGTTCATTGGGGGGCCAGGGGATATGCTCCAGGAGGTATAATAGTGGGAACTGGGAGGGCGCTACACTCACTCGATGCCGGTATTCCTAATGACCAGACGGATGTTGTTGGCGGTGGCAAACGCCAGACCAGCTTGCACGTCAGCGGGTCCCGTCACGTTAATGGAATACGCTGCGCGGTTGCCGAGCTCGCAAGATACCCCCGGGGCAGTGAATGGCGAGCACGTCTCGTTCTGCCAGTAGGGGTTCAGAACCTCGCCGGGTATAGGGCATCTGCATGCTAACGTCAATGCGATGATCCGAGGAGCCAGGGAATTCTAACCAACGAGAAGGGGCAGGACTGACAGGGTGGCCGGGCCCGAATCCTGGAAGGCCGTGCCTAGAGTACTACATGACTCTTGGTCGTATGCGGCGAACTGCCCCTGGAGGTGACAGACATGCGCCACGGGCACCGTAGCTATCAGCCGCCCACCCACAGTGCTGTTCAGTCGGGCCCATTGGCGCTGGCTCGGCCAGCCTGCATCTCCGGGAATATACCTGCATGTCTGGTTACCACCCCCGATCGGCACCTTATGAATAGTAGGTGTAGAAGTAGAGGCCGTGGCGGCAAAGAACGCCAGGAGGGCCGGCAGCAGAAAGGGGGCTACCATGCTGCGGGAGGCGAGGGTCTGTTCTCTGCTCAATGGACCTATCCTATGGGGCTTTAGGCGGAGATTGGCAGCCAACTCAAACCAGTTGTTTCTGGCGACTCATTTTATCATGAGCGGTGAAGCAGATGACCCCGTGAGGCGAGGCCTGCATGGCTTCGGTAGATTACATGAAGATGCAGGTCAGGCTCTTCGACTTGATTGACAATGCAGACATGCACACGATTCGGTGTGTACCTACTTGTCTATCATAGAGCAATCAAGTGCGAATGGTCAGCGCGAGATCGGTTCATGATCATCAATGTCCTGTGGGCCAATCAAAACAGAGAGAAAGCGCCGAACAGGCAGGACGGTCAGCCTTCCACAACGACGCGCATGAGCCCTTTCAGGGGTCCGAACAACAAGGGTTCGTACAGGTAGATGGCGGGCCCTGATGAGGATGGAATCCTGTAGTTACCTAGTAAAGTGCAGGTATAGGTTCATTGGGATCCGTTCCGTACAATTTTTGTTTCTCCGGGCCAATTTGTACCGCCCGGCACGCGCCGCCCGTTGCTCACCACGATTCACGCGGCTCCATACTAGGTCAGCATCGATGTTCTGCATTCCTGGGCAGGTCTCGTCTACACTGGAGGTAGGCACGTAGGTTATGTGGGTATGTAGGTAGTGGCTGGGAGCACTACTTCACGCGTACCGTACCTCTACTGAATCAGATTTTGACTATGCTTCCCTTTGCATCGCGGCCTTCACAAGACACCAGATTCCAGTTTTCAATACCTTCAATATCAACCCGAGCTACCACCCGCTCCCACACCATTCAAGCCGCACCTTACAGCTACACGGTTGCCACCGTTCAGGTGCTACAAACCTGCAAGTAAAGACAATGGGTACAGCCCACGAGGACGCCATGGGCGCCACAATGACAGAGAAGCCTGGGGATGCTGTCGATACTCCCAGCGAGAGTAACCTATCGGGTGAACAAGCCGTTGCTGCTCCTGGCCCAGTCCAGGAGTATCCCACTGGCTTGCGCCTTGTCCTCCTCGCTGGAGCGTCTATCATGGGCGTCTTCTTGATTTCTTTGGACCAAGTCAGTTGAAGCTACCGCTTGCACCCTGATCATGTTTCGCTGATAGAACCCATCCCAGACAATCGTTGGAACGGCTGTCCCCAAGATCACCTCTGAGTTTGGTGGCCTAAGCGACGTCTCCTGGTACAGCGCAGCCTACTTCATGACCTTCGGCGGTCTTGAGGCTTCATGGGGCAAGGCGTTCAAGTCCTTCGACATCAAGTGGACCTTCATCCTGTCTTTGGCCATCTTTGAGGTCGGCAGTCTCATATGTGCGCTTGCCCCTAACTCGGTCGTCTTGATCATAGGCCGCGCCATCGCTGGTGTTGGTGCCGCTGGCATTTCCGTCGGCGGCACCAGTATCGTTGCCTTCAGTACCCCACCGAGGACACGGCCGGTCCTGATGGGCATCATCGGTCTGACCTACGGCCTGGCGTCTGTCCTGGGCCCCATAATCGGCGGGGCGTTCACAGATCGCGTCACCTGGCGCTGGTGCTTCTACCTCAACCTGCCCATCGGAGGCGTCGCCGCCGCTATCGTCCTGCTCTTCTTCCACCTCCCAGCTGCAGCTCGGCCTCCTCCAATCAGTCTGAAGCACAAGCTCTTGCACCTCGACCCCGTAGGCATTTGCCTCACCATGGCGGCCATCATGTGCTTCATCCTTGGGCTTCAGTACGCGGGCACAGTCCACCCCTGGCGAAGCAGCCAGGTTATCGGCCTGCTCGTCGGGTTTGGCCTTCTCGTAATCACCCTCATCGCTTGGTCTATCTACAGTGACGAGTATGCCATGCTTATCCCACGGCTGTTCAAGAAACGAGCGCTTTGGAGCGTGTGCCCTTACCAATTCTTCTTTCTTGGCGACCTTATCCTCATCCTATACTACCTCCCCATCTACTTCCAGTCTGTCAAGGGCGCGACCGCTATCGAGTCTGGCGTCGATAACCTACCCATTTATCAGGTCCATGAAGGAATAGTAGTCATATATCGTGTGAAATTGACTGCCACATTTTCAATCCTTCAGCTTGGCCTCAATAGTGCTCTGCACGGGATTGTGAGGCAGTCACTAGATCTTCTCAATTCTCAGTCCCACCTCACTAAGCAGAGCCTCCCAGTGATCCTTGCTGCGCTCGATCCCCCCTTCCATGAACATGTTGAGGTCCATGAAGAATGGAAACGGGTCCGATCCAGGGGCAGCCGTCGCAGGGAGAATCATCTCGCCGAGGAGGACCCGGGAGGTCGGTCCCATGGCATCCACGATGTTGCGCAGAATCCGGCGGCTTCGCTCGTCATAGTGGTTGTGAAGCACGTTACGGAGGTAATATAAATGTGCGTCTAGATCCAATGCCTATCGTCAGCCCTTGAATGGAAAGCCAAACCCCATCTACCTGGCAAGCAGGATGTATCCAAAGTACAAGTGGGTTAAGGGGGCCACCTACTTTTCACGGGCTGCACGTTGAAGAAGTTGTGTGGCATGTTCTGCACCCCATCGAGCCGGACGGGGTCTTTGCCCTCGAGAACCTCAGGCATATCTTGCAACACCATTGAAGCACCATAGCTGCCGCCGCCACACTCTTTCATGATGGCTGCAAGGGCGTTTCCCCGGCCTCCCCCAACATCCACGACAAAGGCACGCTGTGGCTCGGCCTCGACGGCGGCCCTCATCGTGGAGCGGAACGGGAACATGCCGGTGATGGGCTGCGTCGATTCGATCATGATCATGCCCTTGTGCCACGCGTCTGACACGACCGGGTCCTCCTCGATGGCCTCGTAGTACGTCATGGGCCCTTTGCCGTGCGCCCAGACGTAGGGCACTTTCGTGGCATCTTGCGCCTCTTGGGCTGAGTGGGTCTTGAGGTACTCGGCGACCTTCCACCAATGCGAAAACTGCATGGTACTGGGAAGCCCGCATTAGACCCGATATGTGGGAAAGAAGGCCTTCGTTTCTTACCCTAGGCGGAAAAAGCTGGCGGCCTGGTCAGCACGAAAAATGGTGGAGGCGGGCGTGTGTTCGTAGAACCCCGGAGCCTTCTCGTGGAAAATGCCCTGGGTGAGGACGATACGGAGGAAGCGACCTGGTATAATGCACGTATAAGCTTATTCTTGTCCTCTCTGGCCTTTCGAGAAGCATGAATAAGGGGCCTGGACGCTTGTCGCACTCAGAATCGTGGCGTCGAGCTTGACGGCTGCGGCCAAGTCCTTCGTCGAGGTGTCACCCTCGAGCGGTACTGCGTCGAACACGCCGAACTCCATCAGAACGTTGAGAGCCGGGAGGAGTTGGAACTGCAAACTTAGCGTTAGACTCCTGTCAGCCAAGTTGAGGCCTAGTGGCGTGTGGCGTACCGGATAAGACTGGGACATCAGAGCATCTGGACCCTTGTGCAGGAGGCATCGGAGCCTGTCGAGCTGGCGCACCGCCTTGGCCTGGTCAGCCGCTGAGCCTGCATGGCCTTTGAGGCTCAGGACCAGCTGTTCTGCCTCAGCGATGACACTCGCGTCGGGGATTAAGGATGTCATAGAAGCGATGGTGGGCCTAGCTCCGATAGGTGCGTTTATAACATGCCCGCCTTAACACTCTGGACCAGGGTTGAAGTAGAGACTACATGACAGTCTCATATAAGCCGCCAAATGCACAGTATACACACGTGCTGCCGTGTACTCAACGGATAGGTCAGTCTATGTGTTTTCGGCGTCGGCGTCGGCGTCGGTGCAGAATTCGTCCGTTTCAGAACATCTTACCCATTCACATCGCCGCTTCCTCTGCCTGCATTGACGCCGAAATTCGGTGTCGGATATTTTCATGCAGGGTGCTTACTTAGACAGCTTTTGGCCTATGGTGTACGTAAGCCCTAGTTATTTTCAAGCACTTGATTGTTGATGGAGGACCTGGGAGGTAGTCATCTCTCACCTGACCTTGCGCCTCGCAGCATGGGTTCATTCCTGACTAAAGCGGGGTGCAATGCACTTTTGGTAAGTTACTCTACATGCAGTCATCGAAGGTCCGGCGGTTCTTCTCTGTGTGATTTGTCCATTTTACGGACTCATCACAGCCCGATGTTCTGAAGGATTCACTCTGCAGGACTTCCCCGCCGGTGAACAACTCTTTCCTCGACGCGAGACAGCAGGCCGAAGTTGAAGTCGGCTTCGGAGTGGAATGCAGGATCGAGAACGAGAATGCACTCATATGAGGAGAGGAGATGCCAGAAGAGTTTTGTTTGTTTTGTATTTAACGTGGGGGGTAGCTTCTCAGTAGTGCAAACCACGCCTCCCAGAGCCTCTGCATCGCAGGGTTGTGGAGGTCTCAAGATAATAAGTACAGTCAGTCCCGCTCACGGGCCCATCCCCGTTGTTGCGGCGGTATGACCTTAGGGTCACCCATCTGGTCCTTCGAGAAAAGCTATCTATCGGGGAAGATACCAGAAGAGGAGATCTGCATACTCTGGCTGCTTACGGATACGGGAACTGTTTGCCGCTTCCTCTTTTAAGTCGTGATACTGCTGTAAAGGCTGAGAATAGCATCGCAAAAGTATTTATCTGCTCGCCGTAAAACGACAACTTGCAACATGCTGTCACTGCTTAATCGTTTCTACACATCTTTCAGCCCCCCCATGGCCGAAAAGAAGAACAATGCCATCAAATTCGGCATTTTGGGAGCTGCCAAAATCGCGTAAGTGCCGGCGCGCAGTTTGGCCTACGCGGTCTCTGAGTGCGGTTGAACTGATACTGCTCGTATATAGGCCCATGGCTATGATAAACCCGGCCAAGTCACATCCAGAAGTAGTTGTGCAAGCTATCGCCGCTAGAGATCGTGCTCGTGCTGAAGAGTTTGCGAAGAAGCACGGTGTGCCCGATGTCAGGGACACTTATCAAGGTACATCCCGGCTCCTGGATATCTTCATAGAGCAGTTGAGACTAAAGTGCATTTACTACAGAGATTATCGATGATCCTAACATTGACGCCGTCTTCATCCCCTTGCCTAATGGCTTGCACTACGAATGGGCCGTGCGTTCCATTCGCGCTGGCATGTCTTGGTTGAGAAACCGTCTGCGGACAACGAGACCGAAGCGAACTTGCTTTTCAACTTGCCGGAGCTGTCACCATCAACATCCCAGCCCAACCCTCCGGTGCTGCTGGAAGCCTTCCATAACAGATTCCACCCTGCCCTTCACAAGTTCCTGACCTTCGTCACGCCAGCTGACGTCGTGCATGTCCACACCGACTCCATGGTGCCGTGGTGGTTCACGGCCAAAGACGACCTCGAGTTTAACTATAAACTTGGAGGTGGCAGCATCATGGCGTTGGGTACGTACAACTTCGCCGTCCTGCGCATGATCTTTGGCGGCGAGCCTGAGGAGTGCCTGACGTGCGACACCAGCGTCTTTGGCGACGGCATACATGACCAGTGCGACTACACCTTCAAAGCCCAATTCCGCTTCCCCAACGGCATCGGCGAGACGACGAGCACCCTGAGGGGCTCTATCCTGTGGAAACCTTCCGAGGCCAGGGTGACCCACAAGGAGGTCGTCGTCCCTGACAAAACGCTGCCGGGCGACCAGGAGAAAGTGCGGACGCGGCAGGTGACTCTGCACGGCTTCATGCATGCCATCCTCTGGCATCGCATCGACGTCAAGGACACGTATGTGGTCCGTCACATGGCAGATGGGCGACCCATCAAGAAATGGGTCGAGTCGAGCTCACACAAAGCCTACACACACAAGGACGCAGGTGGCGAGTTTGCCGACTTGCCGAGCGAGGACTGGTGGATATCTTATCGTCACCAGCTCGAAGCCTTTGTCAATCGGATCAAGGGCCGGAAGGCCCATTACTGGGTCACTGGAGAGGACTCGATCAAGCAGATGAGGATGGTCGACATGGCCTACGAGAAGAGTGGTTTGGGTCTGCGACCAACCAGTTCGTTCCGCTAACCACAGGTCCGAGGGCACCTGATGGAAGAAGAGCAGTAGACTTGCCGCCGCTCGACCGAGTGGATAGTTTCCTTACATAGCAAAGCGTCGTTAAAATCTTCTCTCCTGTGAAGTGATCACTGATGGGCCCTATCAACACATGCCCGTGCCTGTACCCTGCGATCATGCAGAGACGCCGACTACCTACTGTGACGAACTCTGACCTCGAGGCCGTCATTCGCGCCCACCAACGTAGACCAGACGCCCTCCAGACCCTGCTGTTGAAGGGCACCTAGCCACAGTGGACGCTAGGGGGTGGCAGTGCACTGTAGTTAGGGCATTTCGGACACCAGGGCCGACAGACGACTTTTCACAACGCAATTCACTGTGGTATCAACGACTTGCACCACATGATTCTCGGGTAAGCAGTAGTTAGTTCCGACAGGTCCTCAGGGATTTGCTCTTTCCCAGCAAATGAAGAGCGTAGTATTAAGTATAAAGTCGAAGAGTCAATACAGAGTAGGGCACCCGACTTAGCCTGGTATAGGTGACGAGGTTTAATACATGATTTGTGATGATGCTATTCACGGGCTCTCAACTATGTATCTCCAAGGCCCAATCTACTCTGGGTTGGCAATAAGTGAAAATACCCCGTCCGACCATCTCGCTTTATGTCTTAGACCAGCCTATGCTGATAGATCTCCTCCGCCCTTTAGGTATTCCCATCGCCCACCTGGTCACAAGTCAGCATGTGGATTCCTCAACGACGCCCCCCAAGCCCACCCGACGGGAAATACCACGTACCGTGAAGATATTGAGAGCGATCCCCGAGCCTGACCCATCGGCTGACAACACGGCGCTGCTGACGGCCACCACCGTGTTCAGCCAGGCGTACTGCTCGGCACCCGTCTGGAAGGTGACCGCGCCGTATATGTTGTCGCCCGTCTGGTAGCCGCTGCCGCGGAAGATGATGTTGGCGCCGTCGCTCGTCTGCAGGACCGAGGTCCCGTCTGGGTAGAACTGGCCGTCTGCCGTCATGAGGCCCGCGTCGACGCCCACAGGCAGGAACGTGCCGTTGAGTCGCGGCCCCGTGAACGTCCCGCCAGCTATGGGCAGTGCCACCCGGGTGCCCCCAGCCTCGGGGCCTATGGTTATGGTGGTGCCGGCGATGACGCTGGCCGTCAGCAGGTGGGTGAGCGGAGGCGGTGTGGGATCGGCATCTGCTTTGGCCAAGCCTAGGGCCGCAGCGACAAGCAGAAGCGTGGTAGGGGACTTCATTTTTGGGAATGACAGTGGACTGAGATTGGTGCTCCCCTTTCAATGCCGGACGTGGGTAGGAGTGCTTTAGTTTCAGGTCTCGCTGACTGAACGTGCGATATTTGCAGCCAACGGGAGCTGGGGTAAGCCACAGATCGGCGAATGATAGAGACACGCTTACCCCTACACTCGCTGACTTGTTATGTCATATATCGCCGAACATCGGTGGCTCTGTAAGTACCTTCTCCTATAGGAAATTTGGCACTAACATCCTGACAAGGGCAATTTAGCATGTTAATCTTGGATGCTGGCATTCTGTAACATCAAAGTAGAATGCCCCTTTCCTATTTCCGCCGCTTCGTCCTCCTCTCCTTCCGCTACCTGCGCCTCTGGAAGCGACTAGCGGTGTAGGCCTCGGTCTCGATTGAAAGGATTGGGTCGTGTAAGTAGACGAAGGTAGAGACTCTAGATGAGATGTATGGATACCATTACTGATAGAAGGAAATAACCCTCTGCATTTGGGCGACCTGCAAGTCATCTTATTCACTCTGCCTCGGGAACGCTTAAGTATCGAAATGGCTGCCCGATTTTCCCGTTATCACAGGCCAGCCTGTTCACGAGGCCACAATAAGCGTAGAAGACAGTTCAAGTTTGATTGTAGGTCACCTTTGCTTGGTCGGTCGTCTAATGCTACTCGCTGAGTACTAGGCTTGTACATGGGAGACCTCCAAGCGTCTACCATAACGGGAAATTTCTCAATCACTGAAGGCCGAATCTCCTCCGCCGTAGTGCTCAGTCTCTCTATACATCTAAGCGTTATCAAAGGGCCATCCCACGAGCCCGACATTGAACTTCGTTCCATTCTCAATTTTCTTGGCCTGGGCCTTGAGTTCCTCGATGTCCCAATTGCACCACAAGAACTTGCTCTTCAGGAAGCGAGCTTCGGGGCTTGCGAGCCAAAGATTGAAACTCGCTGGCAAATTTACTGGAATAAAGTCAGCTTAGCGGTTTCAATCACTGCTGTGAAGCGGCTCACCATTGTCCGTCTTGACGTCCTTGAAACTATCAGCGCCTCCCGCGATCAGGTTCATCTCGGTGAGAATCACGCCAGGCTGGGTATGGAAGATGCTCAAGTTCGGATTCGCAATGGCGACGGTGTCCCAGAGTCGGAACACAGCCATCTTGGCGACGCAGTATGAACCAAAAAAGTCGTTGAGGCTCAAGTGGGCGCCCCATGAGTTGATGGCGACTGCGACGGCGTCCGGCGCGGCGTGTCGTACGAAGGCTTGGGAAACATAGAGCGAACCAGCGAGGTTGGTTTGCCAAGAACTTCTCGCCATCTGCCTCGGTCGTAGCCTCCTTGGGTCCGATGGTGGCGGCAGCGTGGATAAGGACGTTGATCTTGGCGTTGGCAGCAAACTGGGAGAAGGCAGCATCCATATCGGCCTTCTTGGTCACGTCGGCTGTGATTGTGGAGACCTCGACGCCGGGGAACTTGGCTTCGATCAAGGCTTTGTTATCGAGAAGGGGCTGCTCGCGTCGGCCAAGGAGGGCGATGCGAGAGGCGCCTGCTTGGGCGAAGTAGCGGGCCGTCTCTCCACCGATGCCAGTATTGCCGCCCCCAGTGATGATGACGGACTTGCCTTTGGCAGATAGCTCAGGGCGGGTGGGGGAGGCGGACGGCTGTTCAGACGTGTGCCACCCTTTGGTGGGGGAAGGGAAAGGAGGAGCCTCGGCCATGGTGATTGCAGATGGCAGAGCGCAGGTTGCAGGCCAAAGGGTGTATGCAAGGAGGAAAGGAGTGATGTATTATTGTGCGAGAATCGACGACAGAGTAGGTTGGAGTGTCTGTGTGGTGAAGGTAGTTGATTCGGAGTGATAGACAGTGAGGAGGGGGGGGTGTGTTTCTGGGCAACCGTTGCTAGTCTTCAATGTAGGTGCCCCATTTTGCAGAAACGTCAGTGTGAATTCCCCTGATGTCACAGCTCTGGTTGCCGATGCATTTGAGACACAGGCACGGCAGTGACGGTGCAATTTGTTGTGTGTATACCCTATGGAAGCCACATTATGCACGCCCGTCGCCGCCAGACCTCAATGGAGTCTAGCATGTCAGTGTACGTGATCAGGGGCACAATCCTACCTGCTTACTTACCCAATTAGGTACCCAGGCCTGCCTCCTTTCGGAAAACTAACATGATCACATGTACTGTGTATGTGCATGCTTTGCTGCACTCAAAATTGTCCCGCCCGGACGGCACTACGGGCGGGTATGCAAAGTTGTACATTCCGGTCCGAGTGCTACGCTGAGCTGACAAACGCGGGCAACCCCCCGATCTGCGGCACAGTCAAGCGGTATGCTGTCTCATGGCTGTCTGTCTGCCATGGTAATTCCAATACGCCACTCACTCCAGGGCACATCCGATCGATGCTGTGTATTGGCAGTTGCATACAGCACTACGGAGAGTACTATACGCTCTACAATCTAAGATGCAGTCCGTCCTGCGTTGCGGCCAGTGCAACAAGCCGTTCGACAAGCGTGAGTTGCGTTTCTTTAACGCCCGCTGCAACAGCAAGACTCCAGTGTACACTGACACCTTCGTACTCCAGAGTCAACGCTGACGAGGCATGGGTATTACTGTCGGTCTCGGAAAGCTGGCAGCATCAACCGGCCACGGTCTTGTATCGCATGCGCCAGAGGCAAGGCCGGCTGCGACCACAGGCGTCCTGAATGTTCAAGATGCATGTCCAAGGCCATTGAATGCCACTACTCGGTCAGCACGCCGAGAGCCACGGGGCCAGCCACTCCGCACGGCGATGATATGCCCGCCGAACGGGGCACCGTGGCCCCTTCGTCGGGCCCAGACCCTCCCGGTACTGGCAACAGTCGAGAAGAAGCAAGCGACGGTACCGATATGCTTCTCAGTGATGCGCTCGTCATTCCAGACTCAGGATTCGCCGGCTTTGGGGGCGAGTCGGGCGAGTATCCTGCTTGGGACGATCCCGGGATTGGTCTAGTCGACTTCTTGAACGCGCAGACAGGCCAACATTTCCTTTCACCGGGATCACCATTCGCGGCCCATCATCCAATGACCCCTTCGTCTGGTCAGACATTACGAGTGCAGCCAGGAATGTCCCCCTCCAACTTCTCTATCCCGGCAACACCAAGCAGCGCCGTCAGGTCACTAATCCAGCGACCCAAAATGCAAGCTGGCGCACAAAGGATCGCGAACCTCATCTTCCACACTCTGAAATCGTATCCCTTGATGATGCTACACCATAACAATCTTCCACCCTTTGTCCATCCGAGCTTGCTTTCATCCGTTGGGGAGGATGTCCACATGGAGCCCCTGACCAACTGTATCAGCCTTGTGCACATGATCAGTAGCAGGGTCCAGGGCAGTCGGAGGTTATTTTGGAAGAATGTGCGCCACGAATGCGAACGCTTGTCGGAAGAGGTACGTTGAAGTGAAGCACATGCTTCCGAAAGAAGGGTGACAAGGAACTGATACGACTTGTTCAGCATGAGACATTGACCAAGTGGGAGCTACTCGCAGCCATGCAAGCACTCTCTATCTACGTTCTAATACGCTTGGATGAGGGCGAGACGGACCACAACAACTTTGACTTTTTGTTGGTGAAAGCGGTGACTGTGAGTCCAGCTTTCCCCTGATCCCCTCGGGCCTGGACACTGATGAGGAAACTCAGGTCATCGCCCAAGATCTCACCAGCAGCGACGTCACATGCCACACGCAGTGCGCACTATGCAACAATGGACTCGAAACCAGTTGGAAAGAGTGGATTTTTAGGGAATCAAGACGAAGGTCAGACCTCACCCCCATCCTGCCAGATTGGCGGAGACATTAACATGACGAAAAGAATGGCCGTGGTATATCGAGTGGTGAACATGCTCGTCTACTTCCAACCAGCAGCAATGTGCGAATTGCCCGAAGACTTCTTGCTCGCGCCATTGCCCGCGAGGAGGCAACTGTGGGAAGCAGGCGACGAGTTCATGTGGAAGGCAGAAAGTCAGAGGGGCCCCGGCATCCAGGTTTCCTTCGGGTTAGCCTCGGAAGGCGAGCTTGTCAAGCTGGACGAGAGCCGACTTTCCTGTAGTGATGCTTGGCTGGCCAAACAGTCGGACGGTGCAAGGACTCCGTCAAGGAGCATCGCAAGCTGGGAGGAGTGGTGCGCGGGCATCGATGGATTTGGTGGGCTAGTTCTTCTTGCCGCTTCTTTGATCGTGTAGCTTTTCTATTTGCTTCATCCGCTTCCTCGGCGTTACTAGACATCACAAAGGTGTTTGGATGATATGTCTCATGCATCTGGGGCCACTCGTGACACTGTATGCATCTCAGGTTGCTCAACTATACCTGGGATATACTTCCATGGGGCTGAGCTCAATTTGACACCCATTGGAGTCGCTGGGAACAGAGAAATCGTAGCACTCAGCCAAGCGCACGAGGTTCAAGCATTAGGAATGGGATGATGCCAACATTTTTCCGGGGTAACTAAACTTCAAAGGTCACGTTTCCCACTGGGCCGAGAAGGCTAGTAGGGTAGCAAATCACCTTCGAGGACTATGCAACACGGTCAAAGGACTTCCAGTAAAGTCAACCAGGAGGGCTGCAATAGCTTGTGTTATCCCCATTCTTACACACGGCTTGGAGGCCTGGTACCCGGGAATGGAAAAGACTAGGAGCTTAGGCGGGACATTAGCGTGTCGCATCAAGGGGCTTCTCGCAACGATAGATGCCGTACTACGAACGGCGATCAGGGCTATCTTGCCGGTCTGGAAAACACACCCTGGACATATCCTCCACTTTGAATCACAAATTCCCCCAGCAGGAGTTCTCGCGGAGTCAATAAGACGACGTCACGGCCTCCGGCTCGGACGAATAGACCAGAGACACCCTATCGTCGGCAGGCTCCGAGTACAAGCTCGCAAGGAACCGACACGGCTATAAAGGAGCTACCAGCTAGTTCCTAACTTCCAGAGACCGATACTCACCAAGCCATCGTGGAAAAAGCCCCCAACCCGTAAGGACAAAGACGAAGAAATATAGCTCTTTAAGCGATGGCTACGGGGGAGAAACGTGGATACTGACCTTGTCATCTACTCGGATGGATCGCAGCTGGACGACCAAGGCACAACCCGCACTGGATGGGGTTTCACCATCAGGAAAGGCGACACTACACAAGAAGTGTATCGGGGAGAGGGCAGACTCCTCCAAGCAGAAGTGGTAGATGCTAAAGTCCATGGCGCTCTCCAAGGTCTCGCAGCAGACAGGGCGATTGGGCGCGACAAACGGCTGTACGTCTGCCTCGACAACACCTCGGTGGTAGATGGGCTCAATGGGACCCCACCCGAGACATCACAGAACATTTTCATACGATTTCAAGAACTCGCCACAGCACACACTCCTGGGGTGACCGTCAAGTGGATCCCTGGACACAGAGATATTGATGGAAACGAAGCTGCTGACGCACTAGCAAAAGAGGGTGCCATGCTAGAAACGGAAGCGACGAACCTTCCCACAATCTCTTGGGTAAAGAGAGATCTCAAGAGGAAGGGCAAGAGAGAATTCGATCAATGGTGGGAAGGTCAATCAGAACCTAGGTATCAAGAAGTATACTCGCATGCGGTAACCAAAAGGAACCTCATATCTTTCCGAAGGAGCACTTCACACAGACTTCTAGCGGCCAGATCTGGACATGGCGACTTTGCTGGATACCACGAACGTTTCGGGCATATATACTCGAATGACCACTACAGCTGTGGTGAAAGGAAAACACCGCAACATATTTTCTTTTGCGACTGTATGATTCTCAACTGGGGTGTCTACCATCAACTGTTGTGTTGCTCCTCAGACTGTGGTATGCTGGCTGGCTACTCACTGAAGAGGATGGTTGCTAAGGTTTCTTGACGGTCCCACCTCGGCCACTGCCCGAGCCGTCAGCATCTGCATCTCCATCCCCAGCATAATCTTGTCCAACCTGCTGCTCCACGTTCACCGCCCCCACTGGAGATCTTCCGGTGTCTATTTCCGGCTCCCATTCAACAACTATAAGTGCCTCGGATTATATGTCCAGACATCCATGTGGATCCCAGCCACTGGATTCAGCCACCAGTACCTTATCGGATCACCTGTCATCCAGGGCATTCTACGATAAGATTACCTGGGATGGCTGGGATAATACACACGCAACCAGCGGAAGTATTCCTTTGCGAGGTATTCTGGTGAGAAGAGACCTCGTAGCGCGACGAGTCTGGATGGCTATTGTGACATTTGATGGCCAATAATTCTCAGTCGTCTTTCGAGTTGCCTTACGGTTTGCCTGTAGTAACCAGAGCATGTAAGAGAAGCCGATGGCTCGTTGCCTTACGGTTTGCCTGTAGTAACCAGAGCATGTAAGAGAAGCCGATAGCTCCTCAGAATGCTTGGTTGACGATGACAGTCAGACAGGCACCAAACCCCACCGGAGGCCTATCCGAAGCCGTGTAATCAAGCATCCATAGGCCAAAAGCCCACGGACGGATCAGAAGATACCAAAGCAAGGCAAGTACAGAGGGATTCGGAAATTGCCAGAAGAACGTGCAAATCGTGCAACGAGAACATCAACCCTACAGGAGGTAAAATGCGGGCATCGACATCTGTAGGACGAGTACCAACTTGGGATGGTAACTCGTCGAGGTTGACCGTGTTGTTTCTGTTACCAGAATGGGAGATTACACCTCCAATGGCCTAGTCTGAGAAATCTATCGCAATAACTGTCTTCCTTGAAGGGTTAATACAGATAATGCCCAACAAAGGCTTATCTTGTCCTAATCAATTACCTAAGTGCAAGGCCGACGCGGCAAGCTCTCGGGTGATGTGAATATCATCTTCAGGCAGTAAGATGAGGACATTCCCACGACTCAATCCAGCAGCAGCAAAGCATTCCTTTGGGAGAAGTGGTTGCATCGTGGTGGAAAACGCTCGTAGCCCGCTGATTAGTAACGTCTCTGCAGCCGCCTCCACGTCAGTAGCATTGTTCGCAACTTGTTATATTATGTTCCATTCCTGCATTTCGCGAGTCACAAACCGGACATTCTCTTTCTGAGTAGATATAGAACCTCCAATGTATCTGCTCTGTCCCCCGATCGGCGGCGCCTCAAGCGGTAAGTCCAGCGCCGGCCTGGCAGATTGATTCAAGGGCAACAATGGCTGATCTTGTTTTTGGCTATCTTCATTTTGACTCGCGTCCGTCCAGTCAACGAAGGAGGCCTCTTCATACGCGCTCTGCTCATCGCGGGGCCTGACCAAGCTAGATATGGATTCGTATAGGTCATTATGGCCCGACGGACGGTGTAGAGAATAGGCAGTGTGAGAATACACAGATTGCGTCACGCCCTCATGGTTATCATTGCTTTCTTTAACAAAGAAAGCTAATAGAACGCTCTTCCGGATAAAGAAAGACGTAACCCGTGTATCTGAACTATTTCTTGCCCTGATATTTTCTAAGACTATCAAGTGCTTGTCGTGCTGATGCTGTGTTTCGCTCGGAAATCCGCATCTTCTCTTTCTCTCGACCTTATCTGCCCTCATATTGGCTGTCCGCGGCATATCGCTTCTAGGAAGTTCATCGTCTGCAGCAGCTGGACCTAGTACCCGGGATCTTAATTCGTTGATGCGCTCGTTTTTAAATCCCTGTTTGTAGGCCTCCATGGCCACACCATACAAGACTACTTCCTTGGCCTTTTCGGTTTGTACTTTCGCCAAGATGTTCTTCTTATGCGTCGGTTGTGATAGGTCGGGATAGTTCTGCGCTACGTACAACCACAAGCGTTCTTCTTGCTGTCTAAATTCATCTCGGTTCTGCTGAAAAGAATCCCAAAGAGCTGCATCAACAGTCTGATTGCTCCTGCCTGAGAGGCCGATGACGAGCCGCATGCTTTCCGCGCAGGACTCCAGGTATTTGGCATCTTTGAAGAATGTATACAGTGAAGGTATCGGGCAGTCGATCGCAAGTAAGTTTTTAAAGATCCCTTTACGCTCTTCGGAGTTGAAGCTTTGAAGTATCTCTCCACTCTGAAGCCGAGACTGGAGGCTTTGGGCGTCTATAGCGGAAAACTTGGGACATGTCAGCTCCAATGCCTTCACGTCGGCGGCCGTAATCCGATCCATGGTTAAAAGGTCTCTATTGAATATTCTGGTCCATATTACGAGAATATGGCTCAGATAGTTAAAAACCTTCTATACTAAATATAAGCTTATTGAGTTGGAAATGGGCTGGCTTGACTTACCTCATCGCACCTCATAGCCAATATCTTGTGGACTGAGCCTAAATTCATCCCCTGCCATAGGCCGGGAATACACAGTAAGCGGTCAAATGCCTCTACAAGACTCTTCTCGGAGGCATTGCCCTCACTGTGGCAATAATGGGTACATCGGCGGTGTCGGAGCAGCTGTTTAAGACATCGACGGCAATGCGGAGTTAGAGACTCTCAGTAGCTTTCGACATCTAGATCTCCTGCGTGATAACTTTTGCGAATATGGAAAAACTGCTGACCGGATTCTCTACCAGCATTATTCTCTCTCTCCATTCCTAATATACAACCTGGGATGCGTTGCCGTAGTGCGAGTGTTGTACAAAGATCCAAGGTGCAAGTTTTACTGCTGAGCCTTATGGCGAGGGAGGCTCGTCACACTAATAGGGCAGAAATTTGTTTTTTGATCCAGTTCTTACTCTAGGTTCAGGTCTTGGTCACAATCTAATTCCGGCTGATGATTCCGTTTTATTTTCCCTGAATATTGTCCAATTTATCCCATAATTCATTGCAAACTCACCCATATATGCAGTAAAGTAACCCTATTTAGATCAGAATTTCTGGAAGCCATTAATGATCCGCTTTTGAACTATAGCTCAGGCATTTGATCGTAAAGGAGCGCGGAAGCAACGTCCATCTAAATAGAATGTAATTGTACAGTATCACTCCACCATAGAACTCGACAGAAGTCACAGACATGTCCTATCTTCCGTTAAATGATGAAAGACACGGACCATCCCATCCCATGGTTAAGAGCAAAAGAGACATTAACGACCTGACCGAGATGAGATCATCGACTCGGAGTTTGGGGAGTTTGGGTCCGAGCGCGAAGCTGCTCCACAACATCGAAGTCGACCACATAACCATCAACCCGGGCGAGAAGTACGGCAATACGAGACTAGAAAGTCCTATTCTAGGTTTAGTATCTCATGAGCTCCATTAAGCAACGCGATGCCTTTAAATTGCGGAAGATTCGATTTGTTACACGAGAGTTAGGTGCAGCTAAACTCGAACGCGCTCTGGCAGAAAGAGTGAGATCTGGTTCGTTCGTCACGAACATTAGCTTTAGTTTCCCTAGGATCCAGTTCCCAACGGCATGCCATAAAAACTATTAAAAAGCTGTTTGTCGATCTAACTAGTCCAGAATTTGCTATCCTGGCATAATCCTTGAATTAAATAAACTAAACTAAACTAAACCGTGAACATATCTAGCATAAAGGCCGGTTGATGTGGAGAATAAAATCACTAGTGTCGGGCCGTTCCGTACGGTATGGTCAGGACTTTGATTGTGTTGAATGGGAGCCGGAAATAGACACCGGAAGATCTCCAGTGGGGCAGAGACGCACAGGGCATCTGACCCACCCAGAAGTTAGATCATCAATTTCTGCACGCTCAAGGGGTGAAGCAGAAGAACAACGATAACAAGACACATTTGACAACCTAAATAATCTGAACTCGCTTGTATCTGACATAATAAGATGAATTAAGTGCGATAAAGGGTTCCGATTTAGGGAGACCTGGACCGGGTCCCTAAGGCCGATTGATGGATAGCACCGGACGACAAACTACAAGAGCTGGTTGATAATGCCCAAAACAGGATTCACGAGCTCCCCCGGCTAGGTCTATCCCCTGGCCAAATGGGTACCTTTATGCAGAGCTTAATCGACGTGATCCAAGGCTGCGTCAGGACAGTGGGCAAGAAGCCCCGCCAATCTAGGCCCACTGCTTGGTGGAATAACGAATGCAAAGCAGCTGTTAAGACATACAGGGCCTTTTCCAAACAGACCGCAAGCCAAGAAGGGCGGAATTCGGCTCGACGGGACTTTCGCCGCGTGGTTCGGAAAGCCAGGAGAGAGTACTGGCGGACTCTGATCGATTCAGCAACCGAACCAAAGGACGTATACAGAATCGTTTCCTGGCACAAGCTATCAGTGGGACTGCGGGCGTCTAACCAGCTAGAGGACTGCGCCACCAGGGGATTTTGTATGGTCAGGAGACCGCCCTCTACCCGTCCAAGCGTACGGCAATATGCAAGATTATCAGCTTTCCAAATATAGCTTACTGCCCCTCACTCCTCACTACTCTTGTATCCCTGCGAGAACCCAAACGGAGAGGATATTAGTGGGACAACAAGGAAAGGCAGACCAGTCTCAAAAGAAGAGAGAATACCTTGGTCGGCCATATCAAGGACATGTACGGCCAATATTCATCGACTACCAACCGAACGACCCGAACGCTATGTTTCACACCGCACAACCAAGCAAGAAGCATCTACACAACTCATGGGCCAGAAGACCTCCCCTCACTGGGAACGCGTGGCTATGGCATCGACGACTAGGACACCCTGGCCCAGAAGCTTTGGAACACCTAGTGCGCGCATCTCAGGGGGTGGTCATCCGAGGACCAACGAGAGTGGAATGCGAGTCATGCGGAATCTCTAAGGCCAGACAGTATATACAGAGAGCACCACGATCTAACTACGAAGATCCAGGAGAGAGATTAGCTCTAGACTTCCACGATTACGAGAGATCGCTGTTCAACGAGTCATCTCATATGGTCTTTACGTGCAGAAACTCTGGTGTCTCATGGGACTATGCTCTCGAGAATCGAACTCCGCAAACAATCATCCGTGTGGTGTCAACGCACCTCTTATGGCTGGAACGCCAATACGACATCAAAGTCAAGGTAGTTGAAACAGACAATGAGATATACATTAACAAGCCAGATATATGAAGATGGCTAGAAGCCCGCGCGATCAAGGTAGAGCCCTCGGCTCCCAATACACAAGCCCAGAACGGAGGTGCCGAGCGCCCAGGGGGTGTCGGGAAGAAGAGATAAAGTTCCCTTGAGTCCATGACAGGCTTTGCAAAACATTGTATCGATAGATTGTCCTTGTTGAACGGCACCTCGTCGTCCCAGCGGTTCGGTGCTAGGTTCTTGTTCGGTACGCCGGAGAAAAGATCCGCTACCCAACTCTGCAATACATCCAGCGGTTCCCTGCCAAGGACACATAGTTTCATCCGGTTGGCGGAGTAATGCTTTGCATGGAAGTCGATGAACTTTTGCCGCACGTCGATGCCTTTAGACTCGGGGCCCGTCTTTAGCACTTCAAAGTTGCCTGTGGAGAAGTGGCAATACGGATGATTAGGATTGGACTGCGACTTTTCCAGCTGGTGCAGGCGCCGCTGGTCACTCTGCAGATTCTTCTTGTTCTCAGCCACGGGCCCTTGCACGTCAGAACATTCTTGATCCCGGCTATAATTAGGGTAGAGGTCGAGATGCATCTGCATGAGTTGGCAGAGGACGGGCAAAGAACTTGGTTTGGACTGCGAGGATACATAGCCAGCCACCTTTACCAGGTCCTGATTCTCCCGAAAGAGTCGCAGTTCTTTAAAGAGCCTTTTCTTTTCTGATCTGAGTTGTTTGATGTGGATGTTGGCATACGCTAATCTGCCTTCGAGGAGATCGACAGCTGAATCCAACCGGCGGTTGTCATGCTGGAGACTCTCGTTGCGACGTTGGAGCCTTTCGTTGTCATTCTGGAGACACTCGTTGGCACGCTGGAGTCTCTCGTTGTCTTGCGTATCGCGCTGGATATCTTGGGCAACAACATCCAGTTGTTTCCGAGCCTCATTGAAGGTCTGATTGACATTGTCGCAGAACTGTGTGTATGGCCGAGACGAGAAAAGAAGTTCTGTATGTGTATTGCCTTGTTTGTATGGGGTAGACACGAGATGGCTGAAGCATTGTGGCTGGAATGTGTGGCTGGATGATTTGGTAGCGTCGATAATCTGATGAGGTTCACCATGATTTCCCTGGCAGTGGATGGGGTTGCCGTGAACCATATTTGGCGAAGAATGGTAATTTAGAAACATATACGGTAGCTGTTGTCATGACTTGCTTTATAAAAAGGGAGGCAGACAAAGAAAATCCTCCCGCAAGCTATGGGTCTGGAATGTAGGCTTGTGCTGCTGAGCGAGATGACCTGTAATATTGTGGCGACACATCCTGGGACTCGAGCAATCCAGGTTATCATGGTGGTGCTACACTCGCGCAGACCATGGCAGATCACGGACTGGATCTGATCTCCGAGCCAGATGTCCCGACACATGACGACGGAAACGTACTGGATCTAGTCTTTTCAGATGTCCCTATGGCCGAAGCTTCGGTCAATGATGCACTCCAGTGCACCTCAGATCACGAGACATTGCGAATAGTTGTTCCAATTCAGGGAGACCTTGACCAGGTCCCCAAAACCGATCGCCAGATAATACCGGACGATAAACTACAGGAGCTGGCTGATAATGTCCAAAACAGGATTCACGAGCTCCCCCAGCTGGGTGCATCCCCTGGCCAAGTGGATGTCTTTACGCAGAGCTTGATCGACGTGATCCAAGGCTGCGTCAAAACAGTGGGCAAGAAGCCCCGAGAGTCTAAGCCCACTGCTTGGTGGAATGACGAATACAAAGCAGCAGTTAAGTCATACAGGGCCTTTTCTAAACAGGCCGCAAGCCAAGAAGGGCGGACTTTGGCTCGACGGGACTTTCGCCGCGTGGTTCGGAAAGCCAGGAGAGAGTACTGGCAGACTCTGATCGATTCAGCGACCGAACCAAAGGACCTGTACAGAATCGTTTCCTGGCACAAGCTGTCGGCGGGACTGCGTTCCCCTCCGATAGTCATAGGAGGCCGAACGTTCGAGTCACAAGAGAGCAAGGCGAATGCACTACGTTTAGCCACGCTCGAGCGAAGTACCCCAGACAACGATATCATCGACCCTCGGTCTGCTCAGATCGCACAACCCAATTCACACATCCCCCTCGAATACCACGTCGGACTAGAAGAGGCCGAAGGGTGGGACCAAGAGCAACTCCCCGGGAGTAGACGCCCTCACGGTACGGATTCTGAAAGCTTGCTGGCCAGTTATCGGGGAACATATCAGAGCCCTTTTCCAGACCTGTCTACAGATTGGTCACCACCCTAAACCATCTAAAGTAGCTGAAGTGGTGATGATCCCAAAACCAGGCAAGAAAGACTATTCCAACCCCAGGGCCTACAGACCAATATCGCTGCTGTCATGTCTTGGCAAAGGCCTAGAACGACTCATCACGAAAAGAATCGCCTGGTTTGTTATTGGATTCGGAATTCTAGCTCCACAACATTTTGGAGCTCTACTGAAGCGCTCTGCCACCGACTTGGTAGCTGCATGTACATATTATTCCCCGGGGGGCTGGACAGAATATCGACTACCAACATCGTCGATCATGTCGCATGGCTTGGGGGGGTCCCGTCCGTGGTGGAATGCAATAGCGCTAGTACATTGGCGATCATGTCTGTTTATTCCTGGCTTGCTGTAAGCGAGATGATACTGCACCTATCGTATGCCGAATTTACCCCCAAAGCCGACAAACATGGGGGCAGTTGGGGACTAATATCGGGCCGTTCCGTACGGTCGGGTCAGGACTTCCAATGTCTTTGGTCGGCAAGCCGAGATTTATCCACTGGTTGGTTGTATGAGCACCCTTCAACTCGCCTTGCTACGTGTGATTGATCCCATGTAGATCCTTCAGGCCATATGGGCTGAGGCTTATAATGGGCAGGATGCAGTCGAAGAGACTGTAAATGAGAAAATGAGGCTTAGAGTATGAGCAAACTGGTTGTCGCATGGCGAGATCATATCATTGCGTCTAGCTGGGCAATGTCCTCAGTATAGATACGTAGCGTGGTCACACCGACCATATCAGGTCAGAGAGTCACGACGTTTGCATTCCATCCCTGTCGGCCTGCAGAGGAATGTCATTGTACCCAGGAACAGAGTCACAAAATTGATTGTGACGTTGAACGTGAGATCCAAAGATGGTCGCGTATGCGGCGTCTGAAGGCATGCAAAGCTACACTGTTTGTCAAACCGCCGGATCCCAGCCTGCATCACCTGCTTGGCGGAATTGCGGCCATCCTTGCAGCCATCCTTGCATGCATGAATACTGCGTCCCGTGACAGGGCATTCTACCCTCCTACAGTGTTGTTTCCGGGGCTCCTGAACAATTGCAAAGCAGATGCCCCCATGTCAGTCAAGGAGCCTAGTGTTACAACGCGTATAGGACAACCGTTGCGCCATGAGGCAAAAGCTTCAACAATGACCCGAGTGGTCATTGACTCCTATTTCTGTACTATATGTATTACTCCGCACAGCGACCCACTGTGCGACCGTAACACCTAGCACACTTGGTGTGATCTAAATGATTCTAGCGACGGACCGTTTCGCTCTGTCGGGTCCAATGGTCATGTCACAGTTATAGATTCAAGGCCGGAATAAGTCTAGTGTTTGCGGCGTCACAACCAGTGTCGATCATGACCATGTAGTCCCCGATTCTCCGCAAGGGAGGTGATATTGGACCGACTGTATGCGGAGGCGTGGCGTGACCGAGCCAACGTCGAAGTCATTCCCCTGCCGTGACCGAATGTAGTATAAAGGCCGACCGATGTGGAGAGCAGGACCACTAGTGTCGGTACGGTCGGGTCAGGACTTACATTGTTGTTCGTCGGCGAGCAGTAATGTATTTGCTGATTGATTGTATGAGCACCCTTCACCTCGCCTTGCTACGTGTGGTTGATCCCATGCAGATCTTTCAGGCCGCATGGGCTGCGTCTTGCTGGCGGCAGGATAGAGTCCAAGAGACTACCAATGAGAATGGGAAGGCTCTGGTGTAGAATCAATTTTCCAGCCGTTCCATCAGGTTATACGCTGGGGGCATGGCAAGACCATCATTACGTCTGGAGAGACAATACCATATACGACACTTACATCACAAGCATGCTGTTCATTGCGTGGCGCAACCAGAAGATGACGGAATTACAAGCGCCGTGGTGGGCCGGTCTGATAATGATGATGATGATTGTATTTAATGTGGGGGATCGCTCCTCAGTAGTGCAAACCACGCCTCCCAGAGCCTCTGCATCGCAGGGTTGTGGAGGTATCAAGATAATATGTACAGTCAGATCCGCTCACGAGCCCATCCCCGCTGTTGCGGTGGCATGACTTTAAGGTCATCCATCTGGTCCTTCAAAAACAGCTATCTATCGGGGGCAGATTGATGAGAAGAACTTGCTCTTCTCTACAAATCTTGCCCATTCCGCGCTGGTTGGCCGTTGTCGTGTTATCACGCGACATGACATTCACGCACGCAAGGGGGCAAGGAACGCAATCCTTGTAGGGATAGAAAGCAGCGGGAGGTTGGTGACGCCAAGCATGTGACTTGAACCGGAATTGGGATGGACTAAATTCTATGACTCTTCTGATGTAATCCTTTAACCTGAAATAGTAGGTGTGAGACGAGCCTCAGACCGTTCCGCTCTGTCGGGTCAGGACTCGCTCATACATTGGTCTAACGGTTGCCCCATGCATAAGCCGCAGATGGTCTGACCGCAGTTAGTCTGACGGGGATATGATTGCTACTTGCAAGTCGGAAGGCTGGCCAAGCAGAGTGATTTGCGGCTCGGAGACCGAGCGGCAAAAGTAGGACCTATCGTAGCAGGACAGTTCCGGTGTCGATGCAGCGGCTTACTTTCGCATCAACGGTAAAGACAGTCTCGGGCTAATCTTGGCTAGTATTCATGTACGGGGTCAAGGCTAATCTCTGGTAGTCTAATGCAGCCATGTTATATCGCATCAAGCAGATACCGCGAACCCTTTGTCCTATCTTACATACAGTCGGTGCTTATATGTGTTGGGTATTGTCGTTAAGCTGACGACCCGAAAACGCTCAGAATCCCACTAACCGACCACCTGATCCTGCCTTGGTTAGTCTGGTCTGCCAGAGCAGTGGTGACCTCCTGAGACCGTACAGAGCCTTGTTGAGCCGCAAAATACACTGCTTGTTGCCGGTTCCGGGGGCATTCGCATGTACACCCGCTCGTCAAAATCGCAGTGCACAAAAGCGTTGATAGCATCCATTTGTCGAGTTTCCAGGTCGAATTTTGCCGTGATCGCGAGCAGTGTGCGCAGTGAGGTGCCTGCTAGGGTTGTAGCCCTTGTGGGAAGATCTCCAGGTGCTTGTTGGTTGCCACACACGACGAGGCGTGCTTTACACTTCTTAAGGAAGCCGTGTTTATTCGTTAAAGTGACCTTGCTTCTCAGCGCGCCCGTTCTGTGCTTGGGTGTGAGGAGCAGAGGGCTCTGGGATGATCCCTTCTTCATACAGTAAATCCTCCATTATCGTGGTGAAGAACTCGTTGTCTGCTCTGATGATCCGGATCTCGAACCGATGCCGCTTCGCGAAGTTGATTAGGTCTCGAACGTTAGCGACGTTCTCTTCTGCTGTTTTTCCGTAGCAAAAGTAGGGGATCGCGAGACCTGTTGCCTCACAAATAGCAGTCGTTATCCTCGTCACGCCGTTATAACCTTCTTCAACCTCTTCCCAGTCGATATGCATGCGGTAGAAGGCTTTCGTAGCCTTAACATCTGGATCTCTGCGTGAGGGCAGCTCGTGTGCTTTGGCGCGCACATACTCTTCGCATTCGTGCGTTTGAGGAGCCATTCCCAGTGGGTTCTTAAGTCGATTTACAACCTATGCCCACGACGAGCCGGTGGCTGGGATAATAGTGAGACCATGAGTCATGAACCAACCCGGCGTGCCCCACCCAGTCCTCATACAGGCAAATCCGGGGGATTGCTAGCAATTCTGACATGTAGCAATGGAAATGCGCCTACCCAAAGAGCTACGCTGACAACAGGAGCCAAGGCCGGCAGTATGGTGTGTGAAGGAGTTGAAACTGGACAGGGGTAAGTGAGGATGCAGCCGTAGATATAACTCGGACGATTTTGCTTGGGTGTCAGAGCCCGAGGCAT